TAATTTTAGTTACTTTCTATTTTAATGGTCCAATAATTATTAGATTGTTATGTTTTAATTTTAAATTATAAAATATTTGATGTTGAGGGGTAAGTGTTACAAATGATATACTTCAAGGGGGTAACTATTACATAAACTATATTTTAGGGGTGCAAAGTGTATTTAGACGAAAAAAAGGATATATGTGTTTGAAACGTATGTACGTGTAGTCAGTTTGCATGCACACGTGGGTCTTAGGTGCATGGATTTTGTACCAAGTGTTAAGGCAATCTCGATTCAATGTATCTGACGGGTTTAAAATCGGCGAAAATAATAATAAAATAATAAATAGGTAGGTGCACCTCGGGAATTATTATTATTTATAGGGCAAATTACGGTCACCTCCCTGAGCTATGGTCAAATTACGAAAACCCCATTTAGTTTGGGTAATTACAGTCACTCCCTTAACTACATATTATCTTATGAAAAGACCTCTTCAGAAGTAAATTTATGGATGTTAATTCGGTACAACTGAACCGAAATTTCGGTACGTCAACATTTCATACCGTTTACCGAACTAAATATACGATTTGGTTCAGTAAATAACCGAATTATATAAATTTTATATAAAAATATTTAAAAAGAGGAAGGTGATTGTAATTACCTAAAATAGAGGGGTCTTTTCATAATTTGACCATACCTCAGGGGTCCTGTTCGTAATTTGCCCCTATTTATGTCGACCCCCACTGTATCGCTCGTCAGAGAGCTAATTTATTTAGAACAAAGCGTAAGAAAGCCGACCATGCATGCATGGACAAAACATGCAGAGCCTCGTGACCTCCTTTACACCAGGAAGATCTGATTTTCTAGTTTCAACTTTCAATCTCTTCAATCGCCAAGAGGGTAAATTCGTAATTCTCTCATTTTGTATATATGTAATTTATTCCAACTCTCCCAAATAATTAGTTACATTAAATTTATATTGTTGTACACTTGTACTCCCTCCTCATTTTAATATACTAGAGGTCCTTAGTTCGAAACATAATTAGATATATAATATAAGTCTAATATTTTTTTCTTAACTAAATCTTTTTTACAAAAATAAGTATGACCCACATCCTTTACCTTTTTTTTATCCCATTTTGCCCTCAACTTAAATCCATAAATTTTACACGTTTCTCCCAGATCTATTTTACTTATTTTCTTCCCTCTTCTCTCCCGTTCTCCCTCTCTCTCTCTCTCTCTCTCTCTCTCTCTCTCTCTCTCTCTCTCTCTCTCTCTCTCTCTCTCTCTCGTTCTCCCTCTCTCACGTCTCTCTTTCTCTCCATCTCTCACGTTCTCCCCCTCTCGTCTCTCTTTCTCTTGCTTGATCTCCCTCTCCATCACTTCTTACGCGATGACTATGGCGCAACTATGGCGGTGGCG